TGAATTTCTTCTGCTGTCCCATTCTAGGACTGTAAGTTTTGCCACTTTTCTGAAATAGATACAAACATCTGAATGTTTTTATAAACATTCAGTAGCTTGCATGTGGTATTTCTTTTTGAGTGAAATGCTGGTAGGCAGTTCCTCCAGGAGATACTGTGTGTCAGTGTCCACAGGCAGTATGTCTCTATTGAAGAAAATTCAGGTATTGTCTGAAAAAAAAGTGATGCTAAAACTTCCCTCATCCTGGCTGAGCAGTAACTCCGGAGGCAGCGGCGCTGCTCTGTGTGTTGGGAGAAGGAATGGACAGCTGAGGTGGTGATTTCTGCCAGAGGAGCTTCTCAGAGCGGGCAGTACCTCTGGAACCTGGGATTTTTAGCTTATCCCAGCCTTGCATTTATTTGGGTTCATAACAGCCACCCTGCAGCTAGTTTGATGAGCACGCCAGGAAGTCTCGTGGAGATGGATGTGCTGAAATGCCACCTCCTGCACTGCCACGGCTGCAGCTTCTGTGCCCCGTGCAGCATGCCCAATGTGTGCTTCGGGGCTCCTGGCTCTGTCCCCTCTGCTATTGCCTGGGCTGGCTAGGTAGGTCCGTGCAGTGTGGGTGACTGGTTTTCAAGAACAGGCACACAGGAGTACTTTTTCATGGGACAGTGCCAACTTGGCAGTTTAGTTGTCACTCAGCGCACCCTGCCTGCAAGATAGTTGTGTCCTAGTTCTGAGTAGTTGTATACAGGACATATAAAAGAGCAAAATGGGCTTTGTCTGGTTCCAGGTGCCCTCTCGTACAGAGGAGGAGCTTGCAGAAACTGGAAATACAGGTGTTTTCTGATTTCCTTTATCATGGAAGAATCTTCATGGTCCGTGTAGTTACTCTGCAGTAGCTGTCTGTTTCCCTCCACTCCCCGAGTCACTGTGTGGACAATTGTGAAGTTGGGGAAGCTCTGCTTGCCATCTGTAAAACTTAGTGAATTGTTTCTTTGAACAGAAGGAAGCCTCGGGCTTGTTTTTATAGGAAAATAGCCCAGAATAGCTATTCCTCTCTGCCTGGAAAACTCAACTTACCCTGACAAAAACCATAGACAAAGATGAGCTGCCACCTGCTGGCTCCATGAAGCTTTGGGCTAGGGCCTGTCTGCTGGTTCTGTGGGCAAGGGGCCTGGTTTGTGTACCCTACCCCAGGCTGAAGATTCGGAAGGCTCAGGTGGGCCCTTGAGAGCTTTCTGCTAAGAAAAGCAGCACTGGGCTGTTCAGCAGAGGTATCGTGAGACGTTACAAAATCAACCTAAGGAGCCTGCTGAGGTTATGGTAATATTTATATTTACTCATTTTTCTACTAGTTTTGGTGAATAAAGATAGCTCTTTCAAGTGCAACTTCATGGTGAATAAAGATAGCTCTTTCAAGTGCAACACATTCTTCACGAGCAGTTCTGTATAATCTCGCACACTGGAAAATCAGATCGTTGCCATTGTAGAGGTTCCCTGGGGAAATGCTCAGATTAGGTTCCTCCAAGAGGCTGGGATGTTCTGGGGCCCTGACTGGTGCAGGAACACTGACAGCCCTGCGGACCCCCTGCTCCGGGTCGGGTTCACTCAGAGGTTGGGTGGAAGGAGGCTCCAAAGGAGCAAATGAGATTAAAGTGAACTCTGTGAACGTGCTGGCCAAAACCGGCTCGGTTTGTTTTTGATGAAGTCACTTCTATTTTAAAATCCAAGTTACAGATACCATTTACAGTGGACTTTAACAAGACTTCAGTTTCCTGTGGGCAAGATATTTCTAAAGAGTTACTCCTGTTGGGGTCCCAAGATATTGTATTCTTAAGTATAACGGAAATTTCTGGGGGGTGAATTTTTGAAACAAAATTGGAAGCTAGCTGTTTTTACAATCTCTTGGTTTTTAAAAATATACTTTCATACAGGAAAAAAGCCCCAAAAATATTTTAACTTGTAGTTAAGAGGTGTGCAAAAGTTGCTTGATGGTTTTTCAGGGAGTGATTCTGGTAATTATAAAATGGCCTCAAGTAAAGTTACTGCTACCTTCAAATTTCTTTAGTTGTTTGTTGATTTCTCAGGTGAAGGAGTAATGGCAAGATTGTTGCCTTTGTGATGTCCAGCAGAATATCTTCATTTCTAATTTTCAGCTTAATAAATAGCCAGCACTTCCAATCAACCAAAATTCAACTCTTTTTTTCCATTTCCCCAAATGTTTCTGGTGGGACTGTAAAGCTTCTAGAGTTAAGAACTTTACCATATAGTTATTTATCTGAAAAAGGAACAGTAGCCCTTTCAGCTTTTAATGTATGTAATGTTTTCATGGTAAACCGAAGAAGGATACTTAGAAGAAAACTAGCTCTGCTCATCAAAAAAGTGCAAAGTATTTGCAAAGCCAAAATTGATGGTTACAGTTTTGCCTCCGATTCTGCAGTAAGATGTGCCACAAATATCCACAATCTAAATAACTGCTCCTTCTAAAAACTTGTAATTTGTTACACATGTCTCTTTCTGTATGCTGCACTGCTAGAGTGAGTGATGGAAAGCAACTAGAGGACCAAGTGTGTTTAATGGGAGGTGAGGACCTTGTTTGATTAGATTAGGGCTTCAGCTGGCCTTTATGCCCTTTTTAGGCAATGAGAATTCCTGACACCATGTTTTAAAACCTGATTTTTAGCACGTTATATACGAGTGTCAAATGCTGTGGTTTCTTTTGTAGGGAACGTTTCTGAAAGTTAATACCAAGCAATTTCTATCTAGTACAGACATATCCATCAGTGCTACCATCATAACTTTTTAAAGGTGTCTCAAGTATGCTTTCGTATTTTAAGAATACCTTTGTTTGATAGGTATTAGAAAATGTGTCCAAAGCTCTTTAAATTTAGATTTGCCAGACCACATGTGATTCTCTTCCTCCTGCTGAAGTGAACACTAAGTTACAGAAACACTGGGGTTTTTTGCTCAGCTGCTTTATTTTTCATATTTTTGTGTGTTTGAACACTGGAGCTCAGGATTTGGCTACTTTAATCATATTATAAAAACAAGTGAGACAAAGGGCCGTGTCCTGAATGTTAATTAATGTATTATAAAGGATGAGTAGTTTTCCAATGTAAAACATACCAATGCAGTAAATAAAAGGTAATTAATTCTGGGTGGCAGCATTTTACAGCAATTCATGGAGAGGAAGTACAGCCTACGTGTATGTAATGTATGGTTATGCAGAGCTGCTCTCCGTCAAAGTAAGGGAAGCATTATTTGGCAGTATGCTAACTATTCTGTTCCTTATAATTACTTGTTAAAACTACACCTTTTAATATTTGAATGCAAACGGGCATGCAGAAATGTGGTAAATAGCAGTGTGTTGATGTAGGATGGTCACAAATAGGGCTGTGTAATCGGCTGCAGGAAATGTTTTTCTCTTATGATAGTGTGTAATGGCTTCAACTGTAAGGAAAGGGAAAACATTAAGGCTCTTCCAAAGAGAAGTTTGCATGCAGATTGTGTGACATCTGCTGCAGCTATCAGCTAATTGTCCTTCAGCAGTTATGCACCTGGAGAAACAAATAGCATGAGACTATGAAAGGCGGTGGCAGCTAGGCCATAGAGACTCTCCTTTGGAACACAGCTTTGAAAAACATAGGTGTGCTACAGTCTACCTTTTTGCAGCCATTAAACCCTGATGTTCTCAGCTCTGTCGCCTCTTGCAAAAGGCCCAAGCTGTTACAATGTGATTGGGTTTAGTTCAGAGGAAGCCGAACACCGTACTTTGGATGTCATTTACCATGAAACTGAGAATTCCTCCTGGTTATTGTTGTATTTGAGAGAACTTCTCCTAAGTTGGTAGTTCAGCTTTGGAATTATGTCCTATTAATGTCAGCTGTGGTTTACAAGTAAGCTCTAGTGTTTATATCAGTAATATTTTTTAAAAGGAGACATCCTAAAAATAGCCGTAGATATATTCCTCATTCAGGTGTAGATGTTGGTAGGAACCGAAAATTTACTGTTCCTGCAAAGGCACTTGTTAAAACCTGGTTTACTTTACCAGTAAACTTGACTGAATGGTGTGGATGAACCTTTATGTGCTCATATGTTCAGTGTTGCAAATTAAAATATCGCTGTACGTCGATGTGACAGCCAGGAAGACCTTCCTTGATGTAAACAACTGAGGTGAAGGAATCCTGTGAGCAGGATTCCATGGTACAGTGTGTATATACGGCCCTTCTTTTCCTTTTACTTAAGAGGCAATAACTTTATATTGATGAGGTTTTGCAGTGCAGTGTAAGTGCAGGTTGGAAGTACTGCAGTTAGTATTTGTGGTGTGAGCATCTGAACTGGAGTGTGAGCTATTGGAGAAGAAGTAATGCTTGCTGTACATCTGATCTGTGGGGATAAATTTTGTAGAGCCGAGGGTCAGGGAGGCTAATGAGCCTGAATCATAGAATCCTCTGGATCTAGCTTTTGTTCCCCAAATACATTATGGACACTCTTGCTCACTTAGAGAGTCATTCAAGTTACCTTTTGTGTGTGTGTGCTCTACTTGAAGTGAGAATTTGGCTGAACAAAAGGAGAATCCCAGAACATCTTACAAAAAAATGAGAGAAACCAACTTGTCTGCTTCTTCAACTGTTGGTTTTTTTCCAGGCCAAATGCTCAAAAAATGTGAGTTAGAAACAAGGTTCCCTGTGCTCTCCTTGTCCGTGAGAAGTACCATGTAGACTATACATATTTTGAAGGACCTCAATGTCCTCTAAGTATAATATTTATTATGTGATCTGTTCTGAATTTTTAATTATTTTTTTTTTGGTAGTAGGATTGACAGGAGTGCTGCTATTTAGGAGCTCTTTTCCCTAAGCCTTTCATCAAGGTATTTTAATTTTCCTTGGACAGAACAGAATGTTATTTCAATGGTAGTGCTATAATTAACTTGGAGGCAAACTTCCTTTGTTCCCTCTGTAGGTAATACGCAAGGGTATGAGTCAGTAATAACCAATTAGCTTGTTTGTGGTGAAGTTTTCCTTAACTGCCCTCGAACAGCAGCAGCAACAACAATAACAGCATCTTAACTCTTCTTTTGACTTCAGTGTCTGTAAAAACCAGTGGCGTTAACTTGGACTCATAAATACTAGGTGTAGTTGGTATCTCCTACCCCGCAGCCTGCCCTGCTCTGGGGGAATTATGGCCTTGGAATTCTCGTCAAGAAATCTGGGTACTGGCATTCATCTGAAAATATACATATAGCTTAGTTACTGATGGAAAAGGGCACGGCAGGATGAGATTCTTGTCAGTGAAGAAGCAAGGTGTAGTCGGCTTCCAGGCGCTCTTGGTCTGTTGTGGAGCAACAGGTAGATGTGAATACGGATGAAAAAGCTTTCCTTTCAGAGATGTATTTGGAAGTTGAAGATACTTTTTAGTTGGGATAATTACCTTAACTATGGCTATTTCTTTTTAAAACTGTTTGGTTTTTTTTTATAGATCTGGTTAAGAATTAAGATTTTGGGGTTTGAAGTGTTTGAGCAATTTGCTACTGCCCAAGTCATGACGCTCCCATTTCGAAAAGACTTGGACAAGTACAAAGATCTCGATGAGGATGAAATTCTTGGCAAACTTTCAGAAGAAGAACTGAAACAACTGGAAACTGTTTTGGATGATCTTGACCCTGAGGTAGGTATTGGCCAAGAGAAATCTTATTTTTTTTTGTTTGCTCAGAAGTGAGTCTGAAATAAATCAAGACTTTTTTTTTTACTTGAACAATATAATTTTTAACAGAGTTTTTTCCTAGTCTGCCAGTGATCTTATTTAGAGATATATATGTGTATATAATGCTTCAATCATTCATTTCCTGTTTACAACATGACTGCAACTGCAGTAGAGGAAAATGGAAGAAAGGATTGTCAGGAGGAGCTTTCTGGGATTTATTTATAAATAAATTAATTACTCTTAGTCATGTTCTTGAAAAGCAAGTTTATTTAGAAAGGCCCTTTTAACTTTCCTGTTTCCGATGTTGTCTGGTAAACAGCCCTTTTGTATCATTTTTATATTGTTGCTTCTACTGTTGGAGTTTGATGGGAGAGGGAGGTTGCTAACCTCTTCTGTAGGTCCTGTAGGTAACCTGTATCTATTCCTGTTCTCGTGCTGACTTTGCAAAAAGGAGACAAATAATTGCTTAGCTCCTGAGTAATTATGTCAGCATGGGGAATTGAAGATAGAATATTTTAGCTTTCTGTTATGAAGAGCTGAGTTATGTTCTCCACTGATACTGCAGCTAATGTCAGAATCCGGGACTTGTGTTTTCACCTCCTGATTCTCTGTGCTTTGCTTTAACAGGACTATGATTAAGTTTAAACTTGATGTTCAGGGGTCACTTAGAAGTATATTATGATGATCTATTTTGTTACACTGCAAGAAATTCTTGATATTTTAGTTGGCTATGGCTTTATGGACATTTGACAGAGGAGAACTGGCAAAAGTGATTGGTTGTCTTTTACGACAGTCTGAATTTCTATACATTCTGTCCTTTCCATACTAATATCCTCCTTTTTTTTTTTTTCTGGACTTTTTTTTTCTTTAGCTGAAATACGTTGATGATAGCAAATAACTACCCCAGCTTGAGTCATGTCAAAAGTAGAAATGCTCCATTTTAAATGCCAGAGAATAGTATAGGCAGTTGTCTTAAAGACTTAGAAATGCATGGATGTAAGTGATAGAGGAAGCAGTCTTCTTGCTGAATGTCTAAACTGTAAATAGCTGAGTGTTATTTACTACTCCTCATTTAAACAGTGTTCATTATAGATAAGAAATGCAAAGTGACTAGCAAGTCTAGTGCTGGGAGCTATTGACTTAAAGAATTGCTTCAGTCTTATTCAGAGTGCAGTGTGCTCTATTTTTAGTTATATTCTTGGTACCTAAAAAATAGATTACTTTGTGTCCCCTCTTCCTCCCCCAAAAAGGGAAGATGGGAAGGGATCAAAGATTGCCTAAAAAGGGTGATGTATGAGGTTTGAACCTTGGGGAGAGGGAGAAGGAAAAGGGAAATGAAACTAAAGAGGTGTTCACTCAGGTTTTCTAAGCTGTACTTGTTTGCTCCATTTTGTTTTGCAGAATGCGCTCCTGCCTGCAGGCTTCCGACAGAAAGACCAGACTGCTAAAAAGGCTTCAGGCCCTTTCGACAGGGAACGACTCCTGGCGTATTTGGAGAAGCAGGCTCTTGAGCACAAAGACAGGGAAGACTATGTGCCTTTTACAAGAGAAAAGAAAGGTAACGCCACCCTTTCCCGTGTAGGTGGTTATGAAATCTCTGAAGTGGACTAGCCAGAACTACTGTAAACCCAAGTTTATTGAAGCCCTGGCAGCTCTTATGCTTTTTAACTCGTGACGTTTCCAAATGAGTGCTGCTGTGCAGAGGCGGGATGCTTCCTGTTCAAGCATTTTGTGACGCTCGGGCTGCTGTGCTGTTTGCATGTAGCACAGGAAGGAAATAAGACTCAAAAGATTTTTATCTAAGATTGCAAAGTTGTGATGGTGTCCTCAAAGTAAGAGCTACCTCTGATTTGTGTCAATAATAAGAAATGCTGTTGTTGTGCCTGTGGCTTACGCCCTGTGGTGCTGAGTACAGGCAAGAACATTTGTAATACTGTATTGAATTTAAAAAATAGCAGCAGAATGATGTCGTGGTAGATACTCAGTAATGTTCAAAGACTCTGTAGACTAAGGCCAGGCAAGTGGTGTATGCAGTCATGTTGTCTTTCTAGTATCCTTCCTGAGAGGTTTAATAAGATTGCATAGTTATTACTAACTAATTACATAGTTAACATCGAAAGTAGCTTTGAAATCTGGCAGTGGTTTGTGGTGTAAAAATCATGGAATCATTGACCCAATGAGTGGGCCCATTATTAAAGCTTAGGAGTTTAAATCTGTGTTTTGGATCTAGTCATCTCATTCCCTTGATGGGGAAACATTTTCCTTTTCAGGGAAAAATTTAAAAAGAAAAAAGAATGTAAATCTTAAATATTGTAAGAATAGATTTTATTTTTTTTCCCCACAGAGCAAGAGTTCCCAAATCTATTGTACCTTGCCAAGCACTATTGGTAGGGACAGAAACTCCCAGTCCTATTCTGGGCACATATGCATAGGAGGTGGCTTTTAGCTGTCACCAGTGTTTGTGTACTGCTTGTGAATCCTGGCTTGTCTGAACCTTCCCCAGCAGCAGGGCAGATCTGCTAGAGAAGACTTTAGTAAACTGCTTGAGAAGTTGTATTACAGCTGCACAGGATGAACAGGCTCCTCTCTTCTTAAGGGCTTTAAACCCTTTAATTCTACTTAATTCTCTGGTGACTTGAATGAAGACTTGAGTCTTCATTCATCTGCTGAGTTTCTATATATATGGTTGTGATTTATATTCGGTGAAAATTCTGTTGGAGGAATTTGCATTTTCTCTGCCTGTACCAGATAGCTGTTACTTGACAATGTTGGCCTCTCTTTTTCTTGAAGTAACAGAGAGATTGGGACTTCCTAATGCGCTGATGTAGTACTTCCCTAACACACCGTTTTTTGCCTTATTTGTGTGGTTTAACACCACTGTTGTTGAGAAACGATCACCGTGACACCCCTTTGCTGACAGGAAAACACCAGTTTGCTGACTGAGTCTGTGAGAGTAACCGAGTTACGGGTAACGCAATGTATTGGAGGCAGTTGAAGGTACCTATGGCAGGGGTACCCTTATGGTACCCATTGACCCTGTGTTTGGCTGGGTAGCATGCTGCTGCTGCCTCCCCTGCTCTGCTTCTTGCCTGATGTATTTGCTACTGTACGTTGGAGGCAGGCAGATGGTTTAACGTGGTTGAGTTCAAGTATATTCAGGGCTTGTAGCTGGTTTGGGGAGTCGATCGCAGCTGGGATGGCTTGTACTCCCTCCTTCAGGATGTGAGGCTGGGTGTGGAGGATTTGCTCTAGTTAGTACTACTTCTTCTGAGTACTAGTGCTTCATTCAGATAGGTGGGTCTTTAATGTTAGCTTACATATACATGCACACAGCAAAACTATTTATTTGGGAAGATAAAATCTGTGAGAATCGCGTAGAAAACCAGGAGGGTCCAGCTGTAACGCAGATCTTGGTTAAGAAAGATCAAATGTCATTTCCTTTATGTAATAAAGTATTACTAAATAGCAGTCTGTCTGGATGTTGCAATATGTCATACCAGTTTAGTTAGTAAAATTTCCTGTATCTCTTTTAAAAAAAAAACTTGCTATTTAATAACTTTTTCTACCATTTATTTTAGTAGTATAGAAGAAAAGAATGTGTAAAATGAAACATAGCTTACCTTCAATAAAACTAAAAATGTGGAAACAAATGTTCAGTATGGAAATTCGTGCTGTATTACATGGGCAGGAGGAGGCAAGAAGGCTTAAGTTCATTTTGTAGTGGGTGAGGGATAACCTTTTCTTTTCCCCTCGTGAAAATGTTATGATTCAGCTTTGATTTGCTGCCATGTTTGTAGCTATTTTGCACAAAAATGGCTAACCTAAGTAACTTAATCTTTTTAAAAAAGAAGTTATGATCTTTATCTAGATGTAGAGCTTGGAAAGGGAGTGGAGCAAAACTCAGTACTTGTGTAGGGATGTTTTTTATCTAGAGGGAGCTCTTATCATAATGTGCTTTTCTTTAATATTAAAAAAACCTAAACAAACCTCTAAGCTGACTTATCGGTTTTGGCTAACTGAATGTCTTCTGGAGAAATGCTAACAAGTTGTGGAATAAGGGTAGGTGAAACTCTTGCTTGATTATCCTGTTAGTTCAAAAGAAAACTGGCAATCATAACCTTCACTTCTAGAGATTTTGAGGGGAGAGGGACGGACTGGAGTTGCACCTATTTTCTTGGTGCCATTTTTGTGGGTCAGGCTTTGCTAAAATATTTCAGTGTGCCTAGCTGGTCTCATTGCTCTAACTTGGTCTAATTTTTCATTTTGTGGAGTAAGCAGGGAAAAATCTATCCTCTCTTTTGCTTTTTTTCTTCTTTTCCTATTTTAGTAGAACTGGTGATCTGCATGGTGATTTGGCCTGCAGGTTTATCAAAGAAGCTTACCCTGGGTTAATTTTAAACATCCCGCCTTGCTACTGATTCTGGTAACCTTGTTTCCCTACTACAGTATGAAGGAAAATCCTCTCCCAGTTGTGCTAAGTACCCCATTTTGAGGTAACATGTTACTAAAACAGTGTTGCATCTCTTTCACTGATAGATGACCTGATTTCTCCAAATCTTTGGGACTCTTTTTTGCTGTCTGCTATGAAATGTGGAAGATCTGAAATCGTGTAAAGTGTTCTGATCTAGTGGAGATGAACAGTGCTAAAGAAATGTAAAGCTTAACAATCCCTAAATCATATTCTATTGCATTTTTCCAGTGCCTGACTTTGTTTCTAAAAGCATCCTTAAAAACACACTTTGTTTTTAAACACGATTTAATGACTTAAGTCACATTCTGTTCCAATTAAGTGTTGAACCATACAGTAAACCATTGTTCAAGAGATTCATGTGGTAATAATTTCAACAAAACTAGCTTTGTCTCAATCTGTGGACGTAAGTATGTCATAAAGATTTTACGAGACACAAAGAGAAGGATCTCATACAAACAGCGAAGCGAGGCTTTAGGGCTGGAGTCTGTTGCCCTTGAGTGTGTTCCACGCATCTGACCAAGTCTGAGCAATGCTCCTCACTTCTCTTGGAACAGCGGAAGATGAGAATTATTGCACCTGAGATAAAAACGTATCTAACATCAGTAGTGTACTTTGTGCTGTATAGTGCAAGGCATTAGCAAATTATTATGTAGACTAAGCTTTGCATTTCTAGCCTTTGCACTCTCCTAGTCATGGCTTTCTCTTCCAACTCTCCCTCTGCATTCCTGCCAGGGTATGTTTGTTTTGTGTGGATTTGCATTTCATTTAACTTCTACTTTAATGTTGGGTTGGTTTGTTTTTTTTTCCCTGCTCTATCACCCAGAAAATATTGTTAAACTGTAGTCACCTGGCTAGAGCTCTTTTGTGCTGCCCTGTTTAGTTGTTACTTCAGAACACCATTTGCTTCTGTTGCCACAGAATTTGGGAGGCTGTGTTCTGTTTGTCTTTCAGTCACTGGTCTTTAAAGGAAGTGTGTTACATGTGGTAAAATGAAGCTAATATCCTGTAGGAGCTTTGGAGAAACAACTTGTCGAATTGACATTCTCCATACAAGACAACCAGAACGAAATAACATGTGATACTCTCGCCTTAATGTAAAACAGTTTTCTAACTCACTGCTATGTGCTCTGTAATCAGATAGCAACTAGTAGTGCTGTCTCTACAGTAAGACACAGAGGAAATAACTTGTAAATTGAATTAAAAAAAAATAGTATTAAATTATGCTTACAGGTGATGAACCTAAGTCTGTCACATATTAAGAATTGGTGATAGATGAATTGTGGATTGTATCAGTTTCTGGACTAACGAAGCTTTAAGGACCATATCATACATGGAATATATCAGATGTTGCTTGCTTTTCTTCATGGAATCACTGATGAGACAATATTCATTTGTCTTCAGACACTTGATTTCTTTTCTGCAAACAGAACACTGCAAAGTGGATTTTAGATTTTCTTTCAATCTGCAAGTGGTGGCTGCTTGCTGCCTGCTAGCATGGGGGTAGGACTGTGGGATATGTGAGAACAGCACCAGCAATGTGCTGTGCACGGCCACACTGAGCAGACCTGATTTCAGGAAGATTTTCAGTCCCACCTTACATGCTGTGATTCTGTGTATGGAATGTCTAGGGCACTTCAACAGATGTCATCCAACGTTTCTGCCTGTTGGGTAGTATGATTGTGGGGAATAGGAACTGAAAGTTCATTCTGTAGCAAAGAAAGCCTGTGAATTATTTATGGGATGTGCATCATTTAACATGCTAGCTGAAGGCACAGAAGGCCTGAGTATGTAATTATTACAGAAATGATGTGAACATCTCTGAAATTTGCCTTTTCATGTTGTATTGCTTAATCTTTGCAGTATCCATGTTGGCTGAAAAGGAGGATGTCATTTTCCTTCATGTGACCAAATCCCTGCTATTTGGAAACATTCCACTTGAGGGCTGAGAAAGCTATTCATCTCAAGGGCTGCACAGATGTGGAGTCTTTTTTTTTTTTTTTTTTTTAAGGAAAAAAAAAGCTTATGTTGGTAAGGGGGGGAAGGGAATTGCCAAACTGTATTGGCAGCGGGCCTTGAGTTAGATCATTGTCCCCAGAGACACAGGGGTCTTACCCTTTTTTGAAGTAAGTTTGTCACTAGAAGTGGGGAGTGGGGAAGAACCTGCTTTCGTATGTGCATTGTAAACCTGTGAACTGTGGGCTAGGATGAGAAGGGGCCAATGAATGTGAGATTATATACACAAGGGTGTGACCTGTTTTATAACAAAAACTGCTCCTGACCCAGTTCATGTGACTGGAGTTGGCTGCAATTAATGTTTCTGGAGGGGAGTGGCTTTTAACATTATTGCTTTAATAAAAACTGAATATACAGTGGTGGGGGTGGTTTTTTTGTTGTTTTTTAGGTTATCTTAAGAATCGGGCACATATGGATAAATTCAGTCTTACTCTTAGGAACCAAATGTTTAAAAGTTCCTAACTTAGGAACTTAACAATTACTTAAAGTAACATCAGGAAAACTAGTTCTTTTTTTTTGTGGGTACTGTGTGGTGAACCAGATAGGAGGCTTATTTAGGTTGAAATACATTTTTTTTAAAAGTTACTTTTAATTGAGATCAGTTTCCTTCTCCCACTTGCTGCCAGCTGCATTGGTGCTGCAAATAGGATGACATGAACAAAGGCTCAGGTGCTCAAATTGAGCTTTTCTTCAATTCTCCTTTCTTGTACTCTGAATTCCTCACTTTTTTACTAATCTGTATTACTGAGGGAAAACAACACAAATGTAGCCAATGAAAGGCTTTAGATCATGTGTAAGCTGTTCTGAGTAAACATGGGTTAACAAAAACCTCGTCAAACATTCTTGTATCTCTTCTGAAGTATAAAATTTAAGTTGAAAGTTATTCTCTCCCCAGTAGGTGATGCTGGTAAAATAAAATGGGGGTAGAAATGTACTGTATCAGTTATATCAAAATAATCTTAAACATCTACTACCTGCGCCTTCATTTATGATGGTTTTCTTTTAATCCTGAGTGACCACAAACATAGTTTCTTTTGCACTGTCCATCAGACCTGAGGTATGGGTGGTACTGCACGCTGTTTGTAGTCAGTACAGTTATGTAAGGAGATTTACTTTTTGCTTCTAAATATGGATAATGACCATTTGTACAACTTTCCAAAGAGATAGCAACCCAGGAACAAAAATACTGTGTTGCTAGCAACAGATCTTGGTCATCAGACTGTGTTGTCAGAGGAAAACCTGATAGGCTTCTTTGTAATCTGTGCTAGTGGTAGTGTGTTAAGTTCCTTTGAAAAGAAAATGGACCACAAACTACTGTAATCTAGGATAGGAATTCCAAGAGAGAGAAAAGGTGGATGGGTTTTGTCATGCCTCTGCCTACTGTGGGACACAGCAGCTGACTTCAGGCATTGCTTCCCAAAAGCGGTGAAACCAAAAATCCTACTTAGTTGGAATTTCTGAGAAATAAAGCAGAAACATCCTTATAAAGCTTCTTGTCACTGGGAGGTATTTAAAAATGCTAAACTTAGTCTTAGTTCAAACATGTAACAAGATACACTTGTATGCAGTATGAGGGGAAAAAAAAAATCTTAGTCTTCTGGCTTCTGCCCAGCTGGTCTGATTCTGGTGCATGGAGGACTGTCATTGTGTAATTGGAATAAGCTGGTATGAGTCGTGTGTGGAAATGTTTTTTAGCTATGATTATGGCGAGGGTGTGTTCCTGAATTAGCACCGAGATGTCATAGGACAGTTACCGACATCGCTTCCTCCTCTGGGAAATAACTAAAGGAAGTTGGAACCTCTTTTCCCACAGCTCTGTCTGCTGATAGCTCAGGCAACTTGGAAAGTTTGGAAAACTTTGAATAACTGTTAATTTCACAGTTTTCTATTTTTGATTTAATTCTATCAAAGGCATCAGTTTTGTTCTGTTGTACAGTACCAGAGCTTTTATTTACCACGTTGATTTGTCCTGAACCAAAGCACCCATTGCCTCTCCTGGGTTCTTACCCAGTGCTAGACTTCCTTGTTCTGAAAGGCCAAATTTACATCATTCAAATCTGAACTGTTTTCAGAATAACTGTTAGAATAGCTTTCTCATATTCTGATTTCTTAGCCGAACTTTTCAGCTGAAGCTGGATGCAGCAATTGTGCTAAGTACACAGACCTCTAATTGTAATGCGTGTCTCCTAAAATAACTTTTCCCATTACCTGTCCGTAATGACTAAGAAGCTGGTGCAGAAAGGGATATTAATACTGCTCCTTTCCCCATTGAATCTTCTGTGACCTTTCTAAGTATCATTTTAGAAAATAGTGTCATTGGCGGAGAAATCTGTTATCTTGGTTTGTGCTGTTCACAAACCATGGTTTTCTCAAGCAGCTCGAGCATCCCCTTTTTTACTTCAAAACTGAGTTAACATCCAAAATCAGAAATACCATGTGTGCTGTAGAGCTGCAGTGAACACTGAGGTCTGTGATATCAGATGATTCTTTGCTATTCTATTTCTCTGACATATTCAGATTACAGTTCTGGCTGTGTCCCTTTCTCCTTTTGGAAGATATCGGTCATCGTTCTATACTGATAGTAAATTTTCTTTACAGGCACTTTTTCTAGGCTGTTTAAAACGTATAATGGAGACTTATACTTTGCTTTCTAATACTTAGGAGAAACAATTAAGATTAGAGTCATGATACAGACTCCTTAAGATCTGGCATAAGTAATGTTATATTCCTGCTTATGCTCTTTCTTCATCTCTGACTTTCAAGAACCAACAGAAGAAACCTCATTCCTTTATGTTGTCTTTGGTGCTCTTCTCAGGATTTACTATATGTATTCCTTAAGTACAGAAAAGTTTAAAAATAAGTAGCTATATAATACAAACTAATATCAGACTTTTCATTTTCTTTACTCCAGGGAAAATATTTATTCCCAAGCAAAAGCCTGTACAGTCTTTTACGGAAGAAAAATTCTCTCTTGATCCAGAACTGGAGGAAGCCTTGACGAGTGCCACGGACACAGAATTAGGTGACCTTGCAGGTTAGTGCTTTTTGCAGTATGAATGCGCTGGTGCATATTTAGACAACAAAGATCTATAATTAATGTGGTAGAGTATTTGTTACCTGAAATGTGACCGTACATTGTAGTACAAACTATAACATGTTATATGCCAGTTTGGTTGTAGCATATCATCTTTGTTGATTTGTGATAACTTATAGGAAGGTAGAACATTTTGGCCTGCATAAGATATCTGATTTTTAAACTTAAAACTGTTAAGTTCATTCCTCAGTTCTTGTTGTGCACACTACCACTTATTCTCACGTATGAGAACGTGTTGCTGTATGCCTGCATTCCTAAAGCTTCAGTCAAGAATTTTGTGACTGAACTGTGCTTTTAACTGATGCTTGAACCTGGTGACGTAAAATCTTTCTAAGATGTGAAAGCCAACTAAAAAGTCTATGATTAATTATTTTCTACTTAGAATAGAATTTCTTAGAATTTCTACTTATAGATAGAATGGCTCATTGTACTGATAACTGGATGTTTTACAAACATCAGTTATTATTATTTAAAGGAACTGCATCTGGGCTGAATTATTCAGGAGCAGTAAAATTGGTTTTTTTGCTTTTTCTTTTTCTCCTTTTACAGCTATACTGGGAATGTCCAACTTGATAACAAACAATCAGTTCTGTGATGTAGTAGGAAGCAGTAATGGGATTGACAAAGACAGCTTCTCAAGTAAGTGTGTACGCAAGCGCTAGATAAATGAGTTCTTTGTACTGCACACAGTTACTATAGCATTAACTATTTTCTGTTGCACTAGCATTCTTTATAGACTATTCAGTCTTGAATTGGAAATGGGCATGTCTAACATTGCTAATTGAGTTCTGGCAAAAATGGAATTAAAATATATCAACATTAAAATCTATTCTGCAGTTAATTCACTTTTTGGCAGATAAAAGTAGGCATAAACATGCATTTGCGCGTGTTGGGTTTTAGGTTTCACATTTGTGTTTGTAATTCAACTCCTATATGCTTTCTGAAAAAAAGCTGGTCTGCAAGAAAGGCCGTGAAGACCTTTGGAAAAGAATTGAACTTTATGAAAATACAGTCCGGAGATGATGGTATGCTTTTTGGGTGGAGGAGAGATGTGAAGATTGATGAAATTATATTTAAATACAGTAAATATTTAGTATGTGCATGTGACCTGTTTGATTACAATTAAATGCCTTTTCAGATATCGTAAAAGGCGAAAAAATGTTGCCTGTTTTTGATGAGCCACCAAATCCGACAAATGTGGAGGAGACACTGCAAAGGATTAAAGACAATGATTCCCGTCTTGTTGAAGTTAATCTAAATAACATTAAGGTAATTACCTGAAGTTTGCAGTAAATTTGTTGCTTTTTCTCAGTAGAAGACGCTTTAAACCATAAAACTATAATAAGTGAGCATGATAAGCTTTTTGTAAGTACAGCAGCCTTTCTGCTAAGTGTGTGTAATCTCAGAAACCTGGAGCTAAACCGATAAGCCATCTTGGTTTCTTTTGCCAAATGTGTATTTAAAAAGTCTTAGATTTTTCTTACTGCCAGCCCAGATTTCTGTTGCTGCCAAGTTGGCGACAGTTCCAGCAGTTCACTATTGTGGAGTTAACTATTACTTTGACTCCTTTGTCCTTGATGAAGCAATGTGCTCTCACTTACTGCTATTGCAAAGTGATATTTATACCCGATGTCCTTCTGATTCTTGTACAAAAGAGCTGTTGGCAGCTAGGGCTGTTTCTGCTCATAAGTGTAACAGTTGTGCTTTTAAATACGAGTAGAACTTCTGCATGTTTGCGTGAGAGAACACAGAACTACAGCACTCCTGACCTACAGTGCAGCCAGCAGTGAAGGGCTGCAGCCTTTCTAGCAGCCTAGGCTGTTTGCTGCCCTTACTAACAGAAGAAAATAAAATACACGGTTTAAGAATATCGTACAGTAGGGAAGTGCTAGCCAAAATAAATGCCTAAAAAGGCAACAGAACAAAATTGCTGATATAATAAACTGAGAAATTTGCTATCCTAATTAATTATCTAAAATTATTCCTTTTACACTTGGTTGCTGCTACACTGTAAAAATTACCAAACTATAAATTCGCAAATTCTGGGATTGTTCTTACTCGAACACAGAGAATGAAATGCCAATGGTTTCACCAGTCTCAAGCTCTAAATCTATTTATATTTGTGAAAGGTTAATTTGATGCTGTAGTTAGCAGAATGTTCACTTCATGTAAATTTTGCTCAGTGAGTTTCAAGTCAGCTAAGTCTTTTTTAACACTTCTGTTGTGACAGAGGCATCAATATAGTGAAAATGACATTGCTTTGTAGAATTGGTGACTCTAATAGCCATTGTATCTTACATATAGTCTTGCTACACATGTAGGCCATTACTGTGAGACGACTGGTGATAGTTAATATTGTAGTATGTTTTGCTATAGATAGATAGATATAGTAATAGCCATTGTATCTTACATATAGTCTTGCTACACATGTAGGCCATTACTGTGAGACGACTGGTGATAGTTAATATTGTAGTATGTTTTGCTGTAAAGAGAATAAGATAATGGAAGAAGTTGGGAGGGAGGGGATAAACTTGTGTATCTCAAGAGAGTGAAATGCTATTTTTAATTCAAGAACATACCAATTCCAACGCTGAAAGAATTTGCAAAAGCCTTAGAAACCAACACGCATGTGAAGAATTTTAGCCTTGCAGCCACCCGGAGCAATGATCCTGTTGCTGCTGTAAGTACTCTTCTAACGCGCTTAACTGGGGTGCAAGGGAAGTGAGGATGGGAAGACGACGGTAAGGGATTGGATTGAATCCTGTTTAAATATTTAGGGATAAAAATGATTAAATTCCTTTTAACTGTGAAGTATGTTTTCTTTAACAAACCTTTGTTGTATCAAAGTTGGTAAATGATTACCAGTTGACTAATATGCAGCAATGCGTCATGTGTATGACATGAGTGAGAATTCTTTCTATTCAGTTCCTCCCCCTGATTCTTCATTTTGCTAACCTGCTCTCCTGCTCGTTCCACAAGCCAATAGTATATTGAAAACTAACTTTAAAGGAAGCACATTTGAGGACTGAAAAAGTTCATAATCTTTTTCACCTTACTAGAGTTTTAGTTGAAGAAAGTTGTAAAATATCTGTTTCTCGGATCTCCCTGCTACTGCCAAAGATTGGCTTAAAGCACTGGCATATAAAGCATAATATTAGTCAAGGTATCTAGTTTGACACAATTGAAACATAAGTATTTATCGTCTGTTCTTGTTTTTCCTGTGTTAAATCAAAGGCAGTATCTTATTTATTTGCAAATAAACTGGTAAGAAAACAGCACTAACTGTTTTGCCAGGACAATCCTTTGCATTTGTTTTCATTTCAAATTAGAAAGCAAGCTAGTGAATGAACAAATGAACATTTGAAAGCTTTATTTTGTGTCAATTAAAAAGTTCCTTTTCAATAGAACAGAAACATTTGTAATAAAAATCTATAAAGATTTGCTCTCTCAGGTGTCATTTTGATACAAAAATATTTAGGGGTTATGATTTTTATGACAGTAAACCCCACCAGGTACCTGTTCCTGTTTTCTTATTTTCTCAGAAAAAAAGGTCAGGTATATGCCATTTCCACAAGAGTGCTTTAAGCTACATGCTGGTACTGTGCTTAGAGCTGTGAATTTTACTGCTTCCTACCAAATCTGTAGACAAAGGATTTTGAAAGTCAGATCTGTTTACAAATTAACCTTATCTAATTCTCCTTTCAGTTGACTAACACCCTTTCTTTGGCCTTTATTTAGCAGCTTGCATTACTCATTCTATGCTGCAAAGGCTTGCAAAATGGAATTGGTCCAATATGCTAATTTCAGACAATTTATATTCTGTGTAGCTTTTTAGGTTTTAACAAGAGAAAGGCCTTTTCTTGACTAAATACTACTAAAAAAGGAAATGTAGATAATGCCTGGTTTAAGATTCGCTTCAGTCTCAAATAATGAGTGAAAACTTGCAAAGGTACACTATGCATCTGCCAACTTGTTGCTCCTATTGAAGTAGTTAGTGGAAATGGTTATTGCTGTGTCCTATGATGTACTGTACAAAATTCAAAAGTTTAATGATTCTTTCTTGCATTCAAAGGCTCTTGCAGATATGCTGAGAGTAAACACAAAATTAAAAAGCTTAAACATAGAATCAAACTTCATCACTGGAGTTGGAATTTTGGCACTGGTCGATGCCCTGAAAGACAACGAAACATTGACAGAGATCAAAATTGATAATCAGGTGAGTAATATCATATTTAATATCAGTCTCTCCTAGCTGACGGAATATTTTTAGAAGGCAGCTTGTGATAAACTTTCAAAAATATTTAAAATATCTTAACCCCACAAATGATTTTCTTTATGATTCTCAGAAGCATTCGGTTGGAGTTGATTCCTGGTCACTTCTGTGCTTGCTTGTGCTTTAAAGTGCACAAATGTATTTTTATGACCTTCTGCCTCTTAGATTAATCAATACGAAGCTAAGTCTTTATTGACTAATATGATGAAAGTATTCTGATCTCTTGTAGGGTGAACACACACAAGCTCTGTTATCTTTCTGTACCTTTTCTTTTGACAGAGGCAGCAGTTGGGCACACTTGCAGAAGTAGAAATTGCCAAGATGCTTGAAGAAAACACCAAAATCCTCAAATTTGGATACCATTTCACACAACAGGGACCTCGAGCAAGGGCAGCTGCAGCTATCACGAAAAACAACGATTTAGGTAAGACCTGTCCGTAGAGAGTGACTGTTAAATAACATGTGTGTGGCACAGGTTTTAAAGGTGTCTGTTTTTCCTGCTCTTCTGTTGACATAACGAGGATAGTAAAATATGAGCAGATCAGTTTTGGATTTCTCCTGTGCTTTACTTCTACTCTTCTATTGCTGCTGGCTGTTCCCCTTTTATTTTGTTGCAGGGTGTTCAGGTGTATGAATTGAGGATTTTATTAGCAGTCTAGACCAAGAAATTCAAACTCCACCTGTGTTGTGGCAAAGGGAGATAAAATAATAGTTTTGATTGTTCAGTTTCATTCATATAAGATTCATTGTGTGTTTAAAAGCAGTAATTAATAGTGCAGGATACCCCCTTCAATGCCAGCACACCCGGTCTTGTTTGGATTGCTTGAGCAAGGGAACTGAAGGTACTGTTGTGCAGAGGTTGGGACTGAGTCATCTCTTCCCTTACGGTCCTGTTCATGCACAGGTACCTTCCCTGCCTCTCTTAAAGATAGCTGGTAGCAGTGGCATCTTTATTTGCTGCCTTAAGTTTTGTTGGAGCTCATCTGTTAGAATCCTAACGAAAATGGACCAGCTGAAAATTGGTTAATAATATAGCAGATGAATGGAAACAATTGGTATACTTATATCGAATGCTTAAAGCTCTCAACTACAGGAAGATAATGTGGCCTATCTATTTAAATAGAATTACATTTTAAAACTCCATTTAATTAAACTTTTTGGCTTTAGGTGCTTTGTGGTAAGGATTGCATGACTCATCAGCATGAAAATAGGCCAGATAGTTTAGTGGTAGTAGCAATAGTTCAGGGATGCATTAGACTGAATAACATAGGAAATTGGAATTTGGTTTAAAGATCTCCTTCCCCTCTGAGTAAAGTTTGAAGTGGAGAAGACCAGCTCTGAAAAAGATGGAGGAGAAGTAATGGAGTAGAGCATAGAGAGAGAAGAAAGGCACTCAGACGCTGCATAACTGTTTCTCAAAATAGATTCTAAAGCAGTTATTTTTTTCATCGTAACGCTTCAGGTGTCTCTCTAAGGTTTCTCTTTTCACTAGTTCTCGTTTTAGTGTTTGACTGTTGGAAATCTATGTTTCTATTGATATCTTGCCTTTTTTTTCTTTGCTTTCTTAGTCTGGAGTATGCAAGTAAAAGTTTCTGCAAATACCTTTTCATCTCTCCAGCCCTGAAGCTACAGAGACAGGTTACTCTGAAATACCCAGTTGGGTATTGAGCACTAAAAGCTGAGATGTTCAAAGTCTCTCATTTCTGTGTTTGTACGTTTTCTAAAAAAACCCTCAAACCCAGTCTATATCTTTTTTTCTCCCTTGTTTATGCTGTGCTGTACTGCTTCCCTTTCCTTTGTCTGAAACTGTACGTGTTGCTTTTAACTGTATGATTGGAGAAGTCTAAGGTTGGAAACTCTTCCATCTGTTCTTGCAATGTGAGGAAGCAGGAATGAGTAACTTCTGTCACTGATGGAAACAATTTGGATTCAAATGGAGATAAGTCTGTGGGCTACTCTCAGTGGGCAATACATTGGCTTTGTAAAGAGTAAAATTCTAGTGTGATTCTATTCTGATTGTTTCTTTAGACTGTATGTAAAGCATTTCTTGAGACAGGGAGGGGAAACAAAACAGCTTTCCCTCTGTTATTTTGATCTGTGAAGGTAAAGAAGGTCAATTCAATTTGCAAATATTTGTAAAACTACAGGATTTCCAATTAGTGGGTTTGGGAATAGAATAAATCACTTTCTTCTTATATAGATGTGCTTGCTCCACTTCTTTAAACAAAGTGGAGATGCCCTATGGAATACCTAAGGCTCTTAGCCTCATTAGTGGTGTCTGCACAGAGAAGGAAAACAAAATTTGATAGGGGGAAAAAGAAATAACAATTAGAAATGCTAAAAATATTGATCAAAACTCCAGTCATTCAGTCAATCTTGCATATTTTTAAGTCTAAACAGCATGTGGGCTTTTGTAATACTTATTCACAAATTTTTGTTGCTGTTGCATATTCTGACAAATGATTATTTTTTATTAATAAATCGAATGTTTTAGGCTACTGCAAGTAACATTTTTTTGCAAAGTGTATAAATAGCATTAGATGTGCTGTGAAACTCTTGTACTGTTTATTTTGAAGCCATGTCAATTTAATTCTCCACCACTAGAATACTGCAATGTAAAAAAGGAGTGCTGGCTAAATCTGTTTACCAAACATAGAATTATTCATGTTTCCTGCAAGTCTTCCCTCACAAATATTTGAAGCTGTTCATGAATAACACACTAAGCAGCACTAAAGCATAAGCTTAAAATGATGGATAATACAAAGTGTTAATTATCTTAAATTGAATTATGTGAAACTTTGTGGCAAAGTAGTGTGGTTACTAGTATGGTAATTGTTAGTGGTGTAGACATATGAAAAGTAGTTGCAATGATAAGATAGTAAAACTTTTTTTTTCTTTCTTTCTTGTTACAGTTCGCAAGAGAAGGGTTGAAGGAGACAATTACTAGATCACCTTCTTGTCAAAACTGTGTGGAGACTTCAAGGGCTGTCAGGGCACACTCATCACTGTGGGTTTTGGCAATCCTGGACTACATTTACCTGGGTTAGAAGGGAAAAGACTGGAAACCCCATTCCTTTTAAAGCAAAGCTATATTAATAATCTGCTGGTATGCATCACGTTTTTCAGATTGAGGCACAATAACTGCACCAGTCTCTGTACCATAGTTTTTGGGGGGGTTTTGAAGAATTTTTTTTGTATTTCAAGACTTCAGCTGTGCTTTCTACTAAAAATGTAATTGCAAATCAATGGTATAATTGTCTGTAGTCAAAGAATGGGACATTCAAGATCATTGGGCAGATAATGACCCAATTAAAATATTCATTAGAAAATCTTGGGGTGCTTATTTACATGGAGGGATATGTATATTCTTGAAAACAATGCGTTAGTGATAAGGGATTCTTCACACAACAGTTGGACTCATTGTGTAGTGCCGTTCAACATTTTACAGATTCATGGATTCGACAGAGTTGGAAGGGACCTCCCCTGCTAAAGCAGGATTTCCTGGAGCACAGTACTCAGGACTGCATCAAGGCGGGTCTTGAAAATCCCTGGAGAAGGGGACTCCACAACCTCTCAGCAGCCTGTTCTAGTGCTCTGTCACCCTCACCGTAAAGAAGTTCTTCCTCATATTTGAGTGGAACTTCCCATGTTCCAGCTTATGCCCATTGCCCCTCATCCTATCACTGGAAACCACTGAAAAGAGTCTGGCTTCATCATCCTTCAACCCACCCTTTAGGAACTTCTAAACATAGATGAGGTCTCCCCTCAGTCTTCTCTTCTCGAGGCTAAAGAGTCCCAGCTCTTTGAGCCTGTCCTTGTAAGGGAGGTGCTCTAATCCCTTAATCATCTTAGTTGTCCTGTGTTGGACTCTCTCCAGTAGTTCCCTGTCCCTCTTGAACTGGGGGGCTGAGAACTGGATGCAGTATTCCAGTTGTGGCCTCACCAGTGCAGAGTAGAGGGGGGAGAATGACCTCCCTCAACTTGCTGGCCACAATTCTCCCTATGCAGCCCAGGATTCCATTGGCCTTCTTGGCAACAAGGGCACATTGCTGGCTCATGGTGATCCTGCCATCCACCAGGACTCCCAGATCCTTTTCCTCTGTAGTGCTTCCCAGAAGATCCACCCCTAACCTATATTGGTGCCTGGGGTTCTTCCTCCCCAGGTGCAGGACCTTACATTTGCTCATGTTGAACCTCATTAGGTCCTTCTCTGCCCAGCTTTCCAGCCTGTTCAAGTCCTGCTGGATGGCAGCACAGCCCTCTGGGGTGTCAGCCAGCCCTCCCAGTTTGGTGTCATCAGCAAACTTGCTGAGGATACGCTCTGTCCCCTCGTCCAGGTCATTGATGAATAAGTTGAACAGGACTGGGCTGAGTATTGACCCCTGGGGAACGCTGCTGGTTACAGGCCTCCAACTTGACCCTGCTCTGTTAATGACAACCCTCTTGAGTTCTGTCACACAGCCAGGACTCAATCCACCTCACTGCCCCCTCATCTAGCCTTGTTCATATGCACTGAGAGAAAACTTTCACAGCTATCTTATTTGTAATTCTACTTTTAAAATTTTTTATTCGCTCTTGATACTGTGATTAACTTTAAAAACAATCCCTTTAAACCAAACAAAATTGGCCAATGACTTCTCCCAAGAGGTTTAAGGGACTAATTAAAAAGTGGAAGCCTTGGGGAAAAAAAAAAGTAGGAGCCTTGCAAATTGACAGTTTTTCTATTACACTTAAATCCTTAAAGTCTTTTTTCAAAATGTCCCGTAACTGTATCTTACTCTGTATCTAAACTGGATATGTTTTTAGACTGATTTCATGTGTTCATCAGCATTATTTAGTTTATATTCTTTGTTTAAAAATCCTTATTTACATTCATAAGTAATAAGTATCAATTTCTCTAGAAGTAGTAGACATGCATTTATTAAATTCTGCATAATTCTATACAGGAAAAGCAGCCTTAACTGTAAAACCAGGTTACTAAGTTGCTGGCAAATGGAAAAAATCCTTTTTTTTTTTCGATTGGTCACATTAAGTTATTAGTACTTCATATAAATCTATCATCTTTTAATAAAGAAATGAAGTAACACTTTTAAAAAAGGATTTTTCTATTCTACTTACATCTTGGTGTTGAAACACTACGTGAGACATGCAGAAATTAACCAATATGCAGTGTCAAATCTGTATGGATAGTAATCATTGAAGTATTTAAAATTCTATATCTAAGCAAACTAATAAGGCAACAAGAATCACTTCAACTTTTGTACATAATCACAGTAGACTTCCTTGGAATAATATGAAAATCTAGAGGCTTTTTGGTGTAGGTCTGTTTGGACTGTACTCTACTAGTTTGCTCAATGTTGTCATGAGATCACAAACTCACAAAAATGCTCTAAAGGATGCTCAGCTATATTTATAGCAACAGAGAATCCAACTGACAACTGCTTTCATCTGAGGATCATAATATGGTGAGCATTTTATGTATAGAAAACATATTGGACTGAGATTTTTGTGTCAGGTTGTTTATGCTATAAAAATTCAACAGAGCAACTCTGACACTGTGCCCATGTTGTAATTTGCTGCAAATCTTGTTTTGGATCTTTAAAGACAGACTTTATTCTGGAGGTGACTTCAAATTTTACTGCAACTGTACAGAGAATTTTAAACTATAGTGCCTTCAATGAGGATGTATATAACTGGTTTATACTTGCGGAAGAACATGTTTTTTCCTATTTCAGAATCTGCCTTTTATCGTAATTACAAATGTGTGCTCTGAAAAGCAAGTCGGAATTAATTCTGTTAACACCAAAGACTATACATACTATAGCTTTGGAACAACTAGAAGTGATCTGACTAATAACAAATTATTTTGGTTTTGGCTTTTGTAAATTTTCAAGAACTTTTTAGATTTTAAAATTTAAGTTCTTACATAGTGTGCATAAAGTCATGAGTTGTGTCTTTTTGCAGTGCTGTATAAACATGGCCAAAGCATGTCATGTGCTGAGTTGCCTAAAGCTGTACTTTACTTCTTATTTGCTAGGCACCATAATCATTTTGTGTCAAAAAGCAGGCTGTAATGTCTTCCTTCATTTGTTGAAGGGCTGCATGTTCATGAAATCTGTTCACGTATTGTGATTCTGTGATGATTTATTTTATCATTATCTAACAAGATTAGGCAGTTATCTCCTACTTGAAAATGAGGAGAAAAATGAAAAGCTGGATTATGGAAATGATAGCCCAAATCCCTTCTTTACTTTATTAAATCAAGTTTAGTTGCTTAATGATTTATGATTTATATTCCAATCAACAGCAGGGGCTTTTAAGCTCCAACTCTCAGGTGTCCTGTCATAGATACTAGTGGACCGTAATAGTTGGTCCGTAGACAGCAGCAGCCAAGTATCTGACTGCTTGTTGGCACTTTCAGGACAGATATCTGACAGTCTGGGTGTAGAAAACTAGGTTTTTGTTTGGGTTTGTGGTTTTGGTTTTGTTTTTTTCAACCAAAGGGGTTGGGCCCTCCAAATTGTTGCAAGACATTTGGCATGGTGCATGAAACAGTTACAGCAATCACTTTTGTGCCTACAATGTATATCCTTTTTGGAATAAATGAAGGAATTCAGTCTGTAGTCAGGAACCGTAAACCAAAGTATGATTTCATGCTATCAAGTGTAGTGAGATCTTATGGATGACTTACATCTTTCTGAGGGCAAAAGTGGTATCACTTTGATAACCAGCTACCATAAACACAAGGTCTTTTTTCCAAAAGAGGTGATACTTCTTTTCTTTTTGATTATTCTCCAGGCTTAATGCAGAAGTCAAATGACCACATGTATCGATTCTGTTGGTTTCAAGCTGAGCGTGGAAACATAGCCTATATTCCAAAGCAATTATCTATTTACTGTTGTATTTTAAAGAAATAGCCTCATTCTCTCTACAGCTTGAGTAATACTGTTTGTAAGCTACAAACGAGCAAGTGTTCAATTTAAATTTCCATTGAGGAAACATGAACTGAGTGTTTTTGCATATCAGCACTGTATGCTGTCAGATTGTAAACCAGTAAACATTTTGGATGATTAAAGTACTGTATTCTTTTGTTGTGGTTCTTTTTGTTGTTGTTTTTTTCACATTGTACACTGACTTGTTTTAAGTTCATCTGTGCATTTATTTACATCGAACCATTACTGCTGCTTATCCATTGGGAAACTGAGTGACCAAATGGCACTCTGGAAGTGAAGGGCTCCTGCTGTGGAACTTGATTGTCACACAGCAGACAGCAGAAGGAGGTCCAAAGAGCTTATAAACCCAGCGACAGAGCATTGTTGCCCCTGTTCAATCCATACAGGCAAGCGAAAAGGGAGTGGGGTGGGGGCGTGAGGCTGCTTTATGCAGCATTATTTCAGCCACTGTTGGCAATGGGAGGGGTATAGACAAAAAGGGGATCCCTATCTGAGACAGAGCTCAAAACTCTCTGCCTGTCTTACAGCTGAGTGTCTCAGTGTCTCACCAACAGAACCACAGAATGGTTTGGGTTGGAAGGGACCCTGAAGACCATCCAGTTCCCCCCCCTGCTCAGAGCCCCATCCAGTCTGGCCTTGAACACCTCCAGGGATGGGGCACCCCCAGCTTCTCCGGGCAACCTCTGCCGGAGTTCCACCACCCTCACAATAAAAACATTACACTCAGTATCTAACACAAATCTCCCCTTTTTCAGTTTAAAACCATTACCCCTTGTCCTATGGTTCCACTCCCTGATAAGGAGCCCCTCCCACCTTTCCTGTAGCCCCTTTAGGCACTGGAAGGGGCTCTGAGGTCTCCCTGGAGCCTCCCTTTCTCCAGGTTGACCCCCCTGGCTCTCAGCCTCTCCTCACCGCGGCGGCGCCCCAGAGCACGGCCGGGCCCAGCCCCGAGCCCCGCCGATACCGAACCGCAGCAAGGCCTCAGGGCCGCGCGGGGCCCGGGGCTGAGGGAGAGCAGGTATTTGGACGGAGGGCGGTGGAGCTGGGGCCGGTCCCCAACAGGCGCTCCCAGCGGGACCATAAGTGCCCGTGCGGGAAGGCGGCGGGGGGCGCCGGCCGCCCGAGAAATCCTCGGGTCTGCCGAGAAATCACGCTGCCGGTTCTGCCCGGCCCCTCCGACAGGCCCCGCGGCTGTGACCAGGCCGCCTTCGCTGCTTACTCGCAACACCACCCCCTGCGCTCATCAGCCGCTCCCGCCTCCCCGGCCCGCAGCCACCGCCTCCCGCCGGTAATCACCCTGGGGCGTGGTGCCTTTAAGAGCGGCCTCGTCCCCCCTCTCCGCGGGGCCGTGCGGCGCTGCGTACTTACGTCACTGCGCGGCGCCGCGGCGTGGTGGCGGGCCGTCCCCGCGCCATGGCCGACATGGAGGAGCTCTTCGGCAGCGACGCCGACTCGGAGGCCGAGCAGAAAGGTGCGGGGCCGCCGCCTGCCCTCAGGCGCGGGAGGGGGCGGCGGGCGGGGACTCCGCTTCCCTGGCCGCGGCGGCGGCGGAAGGGTGCTGTTGGGGAGGGCGAGCGGGGCGCCGGGCCCGGGCGGTGAGGCGGCGCGGGTCCCCTGCTCGCCCCCGGCGCCTGGGGAGGTTTCAGCGGCCCTCGGCGTCTGAGGAGAAGCGGCGGAACGTCTCCCGGTTCGGGCCGTTTGTGGGTCTTTAAAGCGCTCGTCCGCACCTCCCGGAGCTCTTCTCCGGGGCAGGTGTCCCCTTCGGAGCGGCGTCCGCCGGCCCGGCCTCCAGCGGTGGCTCCGCCGGGACTGACGCCTCGGGGGCATCGGGGAGATAACGCGGGTTAAAGAAATCACGGCGGTTAAAACTCCTTTGTAGCATCTCATACGCCACATATATGCGTTTACATATTTTAAGCTTTCGCTGTTTCAAGTGTTATTTTCTTTTGTATAGTTGCTTGCTCTTCTGGCAGCTTTAGCGTCTTAGGTGACAGCTTGTGGTTTGAAACTTTATGTGGCATCCGTCATCCTCGTCCATCATTGGCTGTGCCCTTATTGCTAGACATTTTATTTTATTGTTCTAGGTAACTTTTGTAGTTCTTTCTTACAGTTCTCTGTAAGTTCTCTCTCTGGTTTTTGGAGGGTTTTTGTGATTATTTGTTATCGTTGTTTTAAAGCCATGCCCCTCATGTCGTGTGCGTCCTATAAAGGGACGTTCCAACTCTTGAAAGGGTGATGCTTGTTTTGCAGATTCCGATTCCGGATCTGAATCCGATTCTGACCAGGAGAACGCTGGCTCTGGTAGTAATGCTTCTGGAAGTGACAGCGACCAGGATGATGACAGGGACGCAATAAAACCCAGTAATAAGGAGCTATTTGGAGATGATAGTGAGGATGAAGGGGGATCCCATCACACAGGGAGTGACAACCACTCTGAACGGTCCTACAATCGCTCTGAAGCTTCGGGACATTCTGAGCATGAAGATAACGATCAGTCAGACGTGGACCAGCACAGTGCTTCAGAAGCTGCTCATGATGATGAGGAGGATGATCGCGGGCATGGATCAGATGAAGGCAGTCATCATTCAGAGGGAGATGGTTCTGAAAAAGCACATTCGGAGGATGAGAAGTGGGGCAAGGAGGACAAAAGTGATCAGTCAGACGATGAGGAGAGACAGCAGAACTCTGATGATGAGGAGAGACAGCAGAACTCTGACGATGAGGAGAAAGTGCAGAACTCTGATGAAGATGAAAGGCCACAGATGTCTGATGATGAGGAAAGACTCCAGAACTCAGACGAGGAAAAAATGCAGAACTCCGATGATGAGGAGAGGCCACAGGCCTCGGATGAGGAGAAGATGCAGAACTCAGATGATGATGAAAGGGCCCAGCATTCTGACGAGGAGAAGATGCAGAACTCTGATGAGGACGAAAGGGCCCAGCATTCTGATGAGGAGGACCAAGAGCATAAATCTGGTAGGATGGAATACAGTGGTAATGATTTCCTTCTGGTTTGATGTCTCTTTATTGTTTCATTTCTGTTGGCCTAAAAAGATCCAGGCTTCAGTGTAAAGGCATTCAATCATGTAGCTTTCAACTATAGTCATCTTTATAATGTGTTTTTTTTTATGCAGCACTTTTAAATTCTTTTTCATCTGACTCAATTTATTAATACAGAAGACTTTTAAAATATGTGGAACAAAATTTTTAATTTGCTGAGAATAATTATGCTCCTTAGCAGAGTCTGCAAGGGGCAGTGATAGTGAAGATGAAGTTCTGCGAATGAAGCGGAAGAAACCAATTGCATCAGATTCGGAAGCGGACAGTGATGCAGAAGGACAGAAAGGTAAATGGTGGTGGTGTTTTGTGGGTTTTTTGTTCATTTAATCCTCATTTTAAGCCCACCGTTCATCTGCTACAGAACTTTCTCAGTTTCCTCCATGAGAGACAGAGCTTTTGTTTTGTGAATGTTGTTTCACACATTTTTACTGAAGTATGTTAAGAAATGGTGCCTTTAATCAGAGCCGCCCAGAGAATTTATACTGGTTTTTGTGATGTTTAGCTGGCTGAGAAAGGTGTTGACTCTTCTGAGAGGCAGAACCTCCAAAATGCTTAATGAAGTTACTGTTTACATATATTAAGGTTTTTACTTGAGTAAAGGATGATCTTACACGTAATTCTTCTGTTGCCATTTTTCAACTAGATTCTCTTATTTGGTAGAGCCTTTCCAGGAAAACATACTATGAATCCTTAGCTAAAAAATACATGGGAAAACTGGTTCTCAGGATACAAGAATAATGTGTGCTTCATAAACATTCACAATTTTTAAACTTTGTAGGTGATTTTAAGTGGTAACGGAAGTGATGGATGTGTTAATCTTTTTTTCTGTGAATGTGCTTGCATGTAGGGGTGTGTGTGCACATATATGTGTATTCTAAAATAGTTATTTTTCTGCTCAAGAGCATGCAGATGTCATGGATCTGTTTGGAGGTGCAGATGACATTTCCTCAGGGAGTGATGGAGAAGACAAGCCACCAACTCCAGGACAGCCCATTGTGAGTAGACATGACTTTTGAAATAATTAACATGCCATTCCACCGTGATATGTAGAACACTGATTGAGTTTGATAATATTTTAGTGAAAAAAAAAAGTAATGTCATTAAGTAAGCATTACAGATAATTTTGTCCTAGCTGAAAGAATTATTAAAGCTTTATCTATAGCAATAGCAGATGGATTAATTTCTTTGCGTTCTCCCATCCCTGCTGCACTTTTTGTACTTGAAAGAAATATAATGAATCATTTTGATTGTCATAAAGTAAAATACTAAGTCATAGCTGTCTTTGGTACCTTAGTACAGCTGTGTGACAAATATTTTCATTTTGGATCTTGATCATAATACCTAAATTTATTTATTTATTTTTTTATCTGGGAGTTGTCATCCCCCATTCACTCTCCAATGTTTAGCTGAAAACTGTATGTCAGCTCCTTTCCTATTTCCTTACTGCCTGTGGTCTTTTGAGCTTGCACTGGTATTTGCATATGAAAGTGCTGAATTGAATTGCTTTCACTGAAAATGTGCAAGTTCTTTTACCCAAAGCTTCCTGATCTCTCTGTGCACATGGATCACATTTCTTCAAGCACAATGTAAGTGCTTATTAGAGCAACAGTAGCCAGACAGACTTTTTTCACTTATGCTCCCATTCTTCTTTTCATTAGGATGAGAACGGACTGAGTCAGGAACAGCAGGAAGAAGAACCTATTCCAGAGACTAGAATAGAGGTAGAAATACCCAAAGTAAACACAGACTTGGGTAATGATTTGTATTTTGTGAAGCTGCCCAACTTCCTTAGTGTGGAGCCCAGGTAATTGCACGTTAAATACGTCATTAATAAAGTTTTTTAGTGTTTCCTTATATTGCTTTTGCTCTGGTAATACAATTAAATTTGTTGTTCGAATTTAAAATGGTTGGCATTAAGATGCCTTTTTGGTTGTGATCAGTCAGTAGTAATATCTGTTGTTATCTAATCAAGTGCTGAGTAATTTTCTTATGAGCTTGAGTTTCAGCTTGATTGAATAACTTTCTCTCTTTTAAAGCAATATGATTTAATTGAAAGCACATGCTATCAGTTGAATTTTAAACATAGGCTCTTGAATGTGAGTCAAACCACAGCATCTTTATGCACTTTTGAATGATAAAAACACCATGTTGAATTTTAGAATAAGCCCTTTTTTATTTGTGTGTGCTCTATGTACTGTTTAACTATAAAGAGGTTGTTTCCTCATTTTCCTATTTGCCTAACCCAAGATAAAGAAATTTTCTGGAATTCGTAAGGAGAAACAAAGTAAATTATTAGAGCTGGTTTTGGTGTTAGGTTTGACCCTAAAGCCCACCCTCGGCACTTGGAGTAAATTGCTGTTGAATCAGTCTCCCCAAGTGTTTTGTTAAGCAACTTTATTGCATTGTTTAGTGATAGCTGGCAGTGCACTGTTGTGTCTGTTATACACTGGTTAAATCACTCTTCCTGGTGTTGGTGCTATAGACTGTTTCAGAAGAGAACTGTTAAGAATCTTTAATCAGTGAGGGAAGTCCTGGGGATCTTTGGGGGTCAGACAGGACCGAAAACAGAATTGTACAGTAGCAGAGTCTGTTGATCACGTCTTCCCCTTGCAGCAGCCTGGAAGCTGTTGGAAAGGAGGGTAGGGAATGGCCCTCCCCCACTCACTCCCACCCCAGCTGACAGGTTTTTTGAAGGAAGAGAGGAAGGAAAAAGAAACCAATCTCATCTTCCTTTCCCTTTGGTTGGTTTTGAGATTCAGATATAAGAATTGCAAAGATTGTGCTTTTAGGAAATCCCTAATTCACCACAAGATAGCAGTTTTTATTTTTGCTGTACAATATTGTGTATATTTTATTTCAGGCTTAACCCTGACCTCATCATCCTGATACTAAGGAAAGAGTATTTTCTGAGGCAGACTCTCTTTCTTTAGCTAGAGCCATTTAGAGGGTCTGAGTGTTAGAGTGGCTGCAGTTGATGGTGGGGAGGACACTGGGGCAGGCCTCCTGTGGTGGAGAATCAATGCAGTAAATGACATTACTGCAGAAAGGGCTGGCTCACAACTGCAGTGCCTGCTGGTGTCTGTGGTGTATAATTTAAACCTTTCAAGCACCTGTTATTTTGCACAACTCTAGAATAATCTGGATTGATTTTTAGAAGAATAAAGACTGTATTATACAATTTATTGCAGACCTTTTGATCCCCAGTATTATGAAGATGAATTTGAAGATGAGGAGATGCTTGATGAAGAGGGTAGAACTAGGTTAAAACTCAAGGTATAATGTTAATTTTCCTTTTTTCTTTTACACTAATCTAGCCATATTTCTTCAAAGTCTTCCAGGTATTTTAGAATAGTATTTTGATTTATGGTTCAGATTCTGAAAGCGTGGGTCAGTTCAGCACTGAGGAAAGTTGATCCATTTTAGTAATAAATTAAAAAAAAGCTCAACAGCTGCATTTCACTTATAAAAGCAATATCTTTCACCTTAATTTCTTTGCACTATGCAGCAAATTATCTAGCCTTTCTGGCTGTAATTTTTGACACACAGTGTTACTTACTATGTGTTAGAAAAGGGTTTGTGGTTTTTATTCCCCATAGGTAGAAAACACAATACGATGGCGGATGCGACGGGATGACGAGGGGAATGAGATCAGAGAGAGCAACGCGCGGATAGTCAAGTGGTCAGATGGAAGGTTAGTTTGGACTTTTCTTCTATTGAAGGAATACAGTTGTTCTTACAGTGAAGTGCCATGGCATGCTGGATTGGATGGTCAGCAAACTTGGATGTTAGTTCTGCACAGCAGAAATTATTTTAGTTTCTGCTTTGAAAATTTTATACTCCGCTTAGTTTGGATTGAAATATAATTATTGGCTATATCTAAAAAGGCTTTCTCTGTTTATAAATGAGGGAAAAAATAGACTGTAGTGGCTTTATCAAATAACTGATGTATGAATCTCTTTTAAGCATGTCTCTCCACTTGGGCAACGAGGTGTTTGACGTGTACAAGGCACCACTACAGGGAGATCACAACCATTTGTTTATCAGACAAGGGACAGGTCTACAAGGACAGGCTGTTTTCAAAACAAAGTTAACCTTCAGGTAAGTATGCTATCCATATACCTATACGGATAGCATGTAGGTATATGTATCCTGGTATATCCTGTACCAGTTTGTAAACCTTCAGAGCTTAACTTCTTGATGAGAATGTGCTGTCAATATTTTGGTGAGATTTTTCCTAAATTAGGTGTCACAGTTTAAAATGTTAATATTCATTCACTGCAGTATGTAGGCTACATGTATTTTTTTATGTATTTTTTAATTTGCATTTTTAAGTGCAAGTCCTTGTCTAAATTAGAATATTAATATTCTCTGAAATTAACCTTTTTTCTGAGGCACAGTTGCTATCAAGATTATGATTGTGTCTTGGGATATTGAAGTGAAATGTGAGGATGATTATTTAGTCTGGTAATGCATGGCAGATGGTTTGCTGAGAGAGAAATTAATGTCTCCAGTAGCTGTTACAATACACATTAAAAAAAAAAAAAGGAAGAAAGGATGATGCTTTTACTTTTGTGCAGAAGAATCTTTGAAATCTTAAGTATGTTGGCCCTACTGTTGTCCTTTAAAAATGAATATGTTCCTTGATGAAGTATTTAACCCAGAGCAATTTTTTAACAGGCCACACTCTACAGACAGTGCCACTCACAGGAAGATGACTCTGTCTCTGGCAGACAGATGTTCAAAGACCCAGAAAATTCGTATTTTGCCAATGGCAGGTCGTGATCCGGAGTCTCAGCGCACAGAAATGATTAAGGTATTGTGGTATGGAACTCTCTTATCTGCTGGCTTAGTCTAAAAAATAACTGTAATATAGCTGAACGTTTCTGAACATTTCATGACTTCAAGAAGAACGAGGTGTTTTTTGGAGTTAGACAAGAGTTGTCAGCTCTGTGTGCAGCTTGCTTAACCTTACAGATTACAAAAAAAAAACAGAATATGTGCAATCTTAACACTGCTATGAAATTGTTTTAAAAGCTAGAGTAGAATACAAGGTGCACTTGAGTTGGCTTGTGCTTTTTTTCCCCCTCAATCTTTACGTATGGCTTCCTTCCTTGGACAGAAAGAGGAGGAGAGATTAAGAGCTTCCATTCGTAGAGAATCTCAGCAGCGCAGAATGCGGGAGAAGCAGCATCAGCGTGGGCTGAGTGCAAATTATTTGGAACCTGACCGCTACGATGAAGAGGATGAGGGAGATGATGCAATCAGTCTAGCAGCCATCAAAAACAGATACAAAGGTGGCATCAGAGGTAATAAATGATATATGGCATATCATAAACCTTAGCAGTACGTAAGCAGGGCCTGTGTGATTCAGATGGGTTAGTTTCACAGGAGAGCCCTGATAAGATTGTATTTTGCCAGTTCATTTGATACATGGGGAGGCATGAATTCAGTTCGTGTAAGTTTATTTTATTTATCTGAAATTAGATTCTGCCAGCTTTTTCTGTGACTAAATGTAAGAGAAGTATTTTTAATATTGTCTCTTCCTCACCAATTACAGATAATTATTTCTCTTTTAATTTTTCTTGGTAGAGGAACGTGCTAGAATCTACTCTTCTGACAGCGATGAAGGCTCAGATGAAGATAAAACACAAAGACTACTCAAGGCAAAGAAACTTAATAGTGATGAGGTAAGAAAAAGATTTTGTTCTTAAGGTACTCATTTTCAGTCAGGAACATTTCCTACACTAAATCTATTTTTAAAGCTGAGAATTTTGAAGTTTCATTTATGCTGTGATGAATGTATTATTTGATTTGGCATGCTTTCCATGGTAATTAATCACCAATTTCTTATACACTGCGTTAGTTCATAGACCTGAGTGATTCCCAAAGGAGGTCACTATTGTTATTGCTGATTTGAAGAGGGAAAAATTTATGCAAAGTTATGTAAAAATGACTTTGCCAAAATTATGCAAGGAGTAAGAAGGCTCAAGATCAGAATCCTGGAGCAGCGTTACCTCCTAAGCTACATGGTCCTCTCCTGTTCATTCTAGAAATAGAAGATGCATTTTCCCATTTTATTTCTGCTCTTTTTAAATAGAAGAGTTAAAGAACTGAGTTAAAAAGAGTTAGTGTCTGTTGCTAAATAGACGTTAACCATCACCCAAGTATCATCCTTAACAAGAGGCCATGATCAAGTTAACTGTTAACGACAGCTAATAGTAGTGCTGTTTCCTCTTCTAAAATGGTGTTTTATTGGTTTGGAATTTATCGATGCTGGGTATAAGCAAATGAATCTTTGTGTGTATCGCCTCTTGAGGTTTAGGTCATTTCAAGTAATGTCACTTCATGTGATGCAGCACTACAGTGTAGCACTTTTGAAATGGACAGGTGCCATTTCTAAGATAGTTTTCAGTGTGACACATACCTCCCCAATGTAAGAAGTCTTGATTTTTGAAGGAGTAAGCTTGCTCTAATTTGCATTTCTGCACTGGGCTTCCTGTAAACCTGTAGGGAGGTGTGACTTACTGCCCAGCCTGTTGGATGTTTGCAATATTCTGAATGAGAGACACAGATTCCAGCTTCTTATTATACATTGAGGAAAATGTAATATTTCAGAAAAATATGACAGCAATCCAGAAGACAGCCATGGCAAGGCATGTAGAAGACCCTAATTGACCTCTGTTAGTAGAAACTGAATTGTTTATTTTTAAGGCACTACCAGTTGCTATTTCATGATATAGCAATATCAGGACTTTGCAGTTCTGATCTCTCAGAGGAAAAGGTCTAGTATTCAGGAGCGATAGCCTCCATTTTAAAATTGCATGACTTAAAGGTAATATTCCCATCAGGGCCACAGAGGGGTGCTACAGTATTGTTGAAAAAACCCCAGTGGTGCATAACTACTTATTTTCATTCACCACACAGGAAGTGTGGTATTTTTAATGTGTGTCTGCATATGTGAAACACTGACTTCCTTGTACACAGACTTTGTGCTGTCAGTGAACAGCACAGCACAAATGTGTGTCCTGATAACAATTTGTTACCATTACTGAAAGCGTCAATCTATTATTAATACTCTTTATCACCATGCAGCAAGTAGTTTTACTATTACTGTAGTTAATGGGGATATTCTGCTAAACAGGAAGATGAATCATTTAACAATAGCCTAGCTAGATTACAAAAGAATGCCTGTTCTGAGGAAGAAGCGGACATTGAGATTCCCATCCCTACTAATTTCTGTTCTCCATGCTTAAAATTCCTTCCTAACCGAGATCTCACTGTACTAACTTAATATGTTAATATAGAAAAAAAATGCTTTGAATAAAAAAATATTCCTTACAGTTCTGAAACTCAATCTTTGCTGCTTCTTAAAATCCAAGTAATACGTGTTGCTTTTAAAACAAACAAAAACAACCAAAAAAAAAACCACCCAAAAAACAAACCAACAAATGGAAAAAGAGATGAGGTTACTTAGAGTTGAGGGTATTTTTAGACAGATTCCTCTTTTTAAACAATAATTAAGTTACCACTTGGTCTTCATGCCAAAATTGATTTTTTTTTTTCCATTAACAACTAGTAATTTGCCGTTTGATTAAATGTTTTCATGGTATTCTGATTTAAAATGTTTGGAAGGATGATTCAAACTGAACTGGTGTAAATGCACATGGAATCAAAATCAACCTGTTGATTCTGTATTTAGGTGCTAAAAATTGGGCATCCAGCCTATGAAAGTCATTATGGTATTGCTTGCAAAAAGTTAATTAACTCAAGGGTTTGAGTTCCTTTGACTAGATCTTTGAAGCCTCCTAAACTGTTATATTTCTTGGACTGTAAACTGTGGTGTTTCTCAGTACTAATGGTTTCTCATCAGTCCTTTTCTTTTACCAGTGGTGTTTTTGTTGTTTAGGGGTTTTGGGTTTTTTTTTTTTTTAAATTAACAAACAAAACACCTACCCACATACTGAATTCCTTCTTTGCTTCAGTAGCTCTAATTTAGGGCATACAAGTGTCCATAGTTTGGAAATGTAGCAAAGCTACACAGGCTGCCTGCAGGGAAAGCTTCTGCGTGTGGAATACAAACTCTAGGAATTACCCCTGCTCATAAGACTTGCTGAGAATGATATTGTATGTGCCATAAATCCAGGTTGTGATGTAAATGACTTCTGTGCCACAGTTCAATTTGAAGCAAATTGAGCTGTGTGTCTGAGGTCAATGGAGCTGCAGCTGGATTGTGGAGGCTGGGGCATGAGACTGGAAGCCATGCTGACTGAACCTAAAGGGCTGGTTCATAAGCAGTGCTGCGTCACAGTAACACAAAATGGGAAAACTACAACTAATAATTTTGATTTTTCTTACAAGAAAGACTTTGAGGTCTTTTTGTTGTTGTTCTGAGTTTGTTTTTTATTTTAGCTTGCAGTATGTTGATTTATTTTTGTCCTTTTTTTGCCTTTAGGAAGGTGAACCTTCAGGAAAGAGAAAAGCAGAGGATGATGACAAAGCAAGTAAGAAGCATAAGAAATATGTGATCAGTGATGAAGAGGAAGATGATGACGATTAATATCAAGGAAGCACAAAAGTTGACTTTTTTTATATATATATTTATATATATATTGTACAGTTCTCTTACAGCAAAGATGTAAGTAACCATAATGGGGTTATTTTGATAAAGGAAAATTCCACGAAGTCTGCGTTTCTGGTGTGAATAAAGTTTTTTTGACTTCCCTTTACTTTTTAAAGTTTTTCTCTTACTGCAGCAACTATTGCACCAGGGATCATCACAGAGCTGATTTTTATCTTGCACAGTATGTTTCAGTTTTGTGAATTGTAGTAACTGGTTATCTGAGTGATTGCTCGGTGATTCTTACTGAGTTCATTGGGAGAAACCATTCTTAAAGGGTAAGTTTGCCTGTCCAAGGGCATGGTGATTTAGCTTAGTGTTTGTATGGAAGGGTTGGAAGAACATATGATTGGTATGGTACAGTTCTGGGTTTTATTCCTAGATATTCCGTATTTCCTGTCGACTCTGGACAGTGTGTTACTATGCTGGTATATTTTGATGACTGAAAATATTTCTTATCATGTTTGACTAAACTATGAAGTTCCTGCAGTTAGAATTGTTCACTGATCGCATGAGACACTGAAGCCCAGAAGGAAAATCCACATCTTGCCTGAGCATTAATAATACTAATACTAGTAACAGCAATAATAATAATATTAGGCAGGTGTTAGTGACGTAAATGTCAGAGTAAAAGCGCTTATTTAAACAAAACTAAAAAAAATTCTGCAAGCAGAGATGAAAGTCTCCTTTAAAAGGTGAAATGAGCCACAATACAAAAATGTATCCTAATAGCAGTGTCTTATAATCTCATATAATCCTTCTGGTGCTATTTCCTATTGTTCCTGGTTGGTTTATAAATAGATTTGTTCAGCTGGGAAGTCACTGGAGGAGAATGGTGTGGACAGAATCATTGCTGCTTTTACACTATTTCTAAACACCTTATTTGATGATGCAATGCTAGTTGTAAAGTGGGGATAGGCTTGCAGAAATATCTGAACTTTTCCACACTTTCTTTCCAAGATTAAATATCCCATGTGTAGTTTCTCTCATTGGTGAGAACATTCAGATGTTATCTGTGTTGCTTTTTTAACTGATTTTTCACACAGCCCTACAGAGTTTGGATGTGGCTTGAAAAAGGTAACAGAAAGAAAAGAGAACTACTTAATGCTTCTTTAAGCAAAATCATTGACAGATGCTGTGAACAGTTTGTGGATTATTTGTGTTACCTCAGATGAAATAAAGTAGCTGATAGTTATGCAAGGACTGTTACCCACCTCTCCCCTGCCCAGCTGAATTCTGCTTTTTTATAAAAGAGTAGGGTGCAAATGCCTCATAGTGAGCATTTTGCTCTCGTGACGCTCCCTGGTTCTTCGAGATACAGCTTTCAACCTGGATATCTTGCTTTTGTCATCTTTAATTAGGCTGGTAGTTTGTCAGAATGCTCTACCTCCGTTTCTCCTGCCTGGAAGGAAGGGGAAGCGTTCTGGCTGCAGCAGGACAGAGCTCTGCGTGTGTTAATGTATTCTGCTGAGCAGCTGACTGCAGCGCAGAGATTTGCAAGTATGAAAACAAAGTGGAAAACGTCAACTCGAAAGTCTGAGTGCCTGAGAAACTGTTCTTTTTTTCTGTAATTAAATTGTTATCTAAGAGTTCCTGTGCCTCTTTAACGTGCAGATAAAACCTTTCTCCATCTGCTGGAATTTTGACCCTGTAATCCTCTTAGTTCAGACCTCTGCTGGGAGACTGGTTCCTTACAGGGGGTTACCTGCTTTCCGTTTGTAACCTTCTCAGGAAGAAGCCGTCTGTTTAGAAAGGGGCTCATTCTATATGAATGTAACTCTACGTTCACATAAAAGCCTCCCAGTTACCTCTGAAACAACAAATTGGTGTATGGAAACACACCACCATTTCACTGGTGATGTGTTCGCTTTTATGTCACTTAATTAAAGTGTTGGCTATTTTTATTTTTGCTACACTCTGAAGAGTGAAAATGTTTTAATCGCTTTCATAGGTTTGATGCTGACTAAGCCTTTACCAAGTAAGTGGTCCGTTTTAGCTTCCAAAAATTAGGCTTTTTGTGGATTACAAAGATGAAAAGAAGTAATTTTTACACTGTCGTCTTTTGTAAATTGCTCTTTGAAAGTCTTATTTAAATCTGGAATTTTAGAAAGTGTTTTCTCAGCTTAAATTGGTTTAACAATCATCTTGTAATTAAAGTCACTTGAATGAACTTAGCCTTACCCACAGCATTTTTTTCGGTTGTGAGTCAAATGTATAGTTTTATTTAATTTGAAAGCAGTTTTTACTATTCCTTTTCACAGCCTCCAAGCAGTTGAGAATTACTTGGAATTGTTTCTTATTACCCAAATTAAAAATATTAAGCCAAGGAAGGAGAATGTGGATGGAACTGTTTATTCTTGTTCTGACTGGTCAGTACTTCTTCCAGAAAGGCCACAATCTGAACAACTTCCAACAATGAGAAGCATATTTGAAGAGCTGATATTAGCTGTCGAGTACTAGTTTTTCTGGCTCGTGGCAGGATGTAGAATAAATTCTCTTGAAAGTCATTGAAAGCTGTTCTTGGCTATATTGTTTTGTTCTTTCAAGTATATCCTTCAAATGAACCCTGGTTTTCAGTAGTTGATCTGGAGTTTTCTTTCCAGTACCTGGTAGCATTTTCCACCAGCTGCTTTTCTCCATCCCAGCCATGCAGCTTGCTGTGGATTTCATGGTGCAGCACACCTGATGGATGGGGCAGCACCCGTGGAAAGGAGCAGGTGCCCACGCAGTCCCTCGCTCTTCCTAGCAGCAGGTTTGGCCCAGCTTAGTGAGTCAAATTGCTAAACTGTCAGGAGATTTCTTTTCTGCTGAGTTGTTGTGTTTTCTGCCAGGCCTGCCCAAGACCTGCCCTGTTGGCCACCTGAGCATCAGCGCCAGCTCAGTGAGTTGGCCTGGTTGTGACTTGGGGGCCATTGGGGCAGGGTGATCTCTTTGGCAGAGGTAAACCTGAACTTGTCTGTCGTCTGAATACTTGCCCTGACCCTACAGGACACAGTGAAGAGTTTTCTGCTTGTGTGGCTGCCTGAACTGGCGCGTGGAAAAGTCAGCTGAGCCTTGAGGTGGTGCGAGGGGCAGCAGAGGTGGAGCAGGACAGATCCTGTGTATGGCACCAAGTTGTCCCTCAGCTCTGATACGAAGCTGCAGCCTGAGGAACGTGTTAAACATGAGGTGGTGACTTTCCTATGAAGTCATGGGTATTTATTTCTCAGGCAGTAGGCACAGGGGTCCGCAGTGTCAGCCCATTTGGGCAGAGTGCTCTTCGTGAGCAGCTTTGCACTGCTAATCATCTCTCTGAGCATTGTTGAATCTATAGAAGTTACTACATGGGAAAGATTGAGAAGATGATTTGTTTCAGATAAACTTTCTTTTAATTTTTGCTATGAGTAGTGTAATGTCTTACACTTGTGACTCTTAGGTAGGCTGTTCTAGCGCTCCGGAGCTTGTGGCTTGGCTTGGAAGTGCCCCTTGGGGAGCAACGTGACTAATACCTGCTGTTGCCTAGTGATGCCCTTTGACTTGAGCTGGGTTTTTTTAATACTTGTCTGGACATGAAAGACTTGCAGAAAAGCTGCAAACTGGTATTGATTACTAGCTTGTATCTTTCATTGCTTTAAAACTCCTGGGCATTCTGAGGAATTATATAAGCTAAGTAGTTTAGAAATTAAGTGAACATACACTGAAATAATTTGCTGATAGAAAGCCCCTTTTTAAAAAAAAAAGCTTTCACAATTTTAGTTTCTTGAGGGCTTTTCATATGTGTTTGGGTTTTGCTTAAGGGTATTTTTATGCTATAAAATCTTCGAATTTTAGTTTACTGGGCTGCTACTTAAAAAAAAATAGTAAGTTGCTACAGTGAAAGCTTAGCTTCAGAAAGTGGTTGGGTTTTTTCCATTAAGCTTAGTCTTGAAGAAATGAGAGGTGGTAGAGCCAGTTTACCAACAAACCTAACTGCATGTCTCTGGGTTATGTTGAAATCTTCTGGGAGGCAGTAGCATTCATGCAGTTATTGATAGTTGTGGAATCATATCCATGTGGTATTCTTTATGTACTGGAAATTGAAGATAAATAAAATCATATAAAATAGTGGAAGTATTACCTAACATCCCATGACTGAGTCAGGTTGTATCTGATGCTTTTATTTTTTCATGCTTTTCCTGTTCTTTGCAAGATACCTCACTTTAGAATGTGACTGGAAGTGAGGTGCTAATCTTAGCCTAGTAATTTGGCAGTTTTCTGGATTCTGGTTTGGGTTGTTTTTCGTTTTGGTTTTTTTTTTTTTTTTCATTGACTGCAAAGATTTATGATAAACATTCTGTACAGGACAGGTTCTTACAATAAGGCTCACTGTTGATTTCTGTGATAAATCTGTTATTGGAAAACTTACGTGGATACTGAAGGAGCGCTTTCATTTTCAATATGTAAAGGAAATAAAGATTAGGGTTTTGGCAACAGCAGTACCAGCCCTTCCATTCAGGTGTATGCTTGTCCTCGGTGTTTGTGTTGGGGAGATCATTGTGCTTGGTTGGGGTATGGAGTAGGGTAACCGTATTTAAGCTGCGTGAGCTTGCTATCTGCCAGTCTTGGTTTTCAGCTTAAAATAAACTGCTACTTGGCCTACGCTATATTTGTGAAGGGAGGAGTGTGTCCCAGAGAAGATAAGGAAGGATCAAGCCAAAGTGTTGTGGCTAAAACATGCTTTAGTTTTGAGTTTGGCTTTTTTTTCTCCTCTCGTTTTTTTCCTCTCAAAAGTAACCAGCAAAAGCTCAAATGCCAAAATCGCAGTTACACATTCAAATTAAAGTTGACCCTGGGCAGCTTGTGTATTTCCAAACTCACACCTCGTAACATTAGGGGGGTTCTTCTTTCTTGCAAGCAAGGTAATCTGTGTTGGTTTAAGGGAAACTGTTAATGTAGACTCTGAGAGGTATCTTTCTCGTATTTCTTGGAGGACACCTCACTTTATATTAACATTAACACAACTGGAGTTAGTACCCCTTTTGCATAATCACCTTGCTACTATGTATGTCAGATCAGTAAATTGTCTTTTGAATTGATATTTCTATGCTGTTTCTCTCAGTACAGGTTTTTCTAGTGATTAGAAGAGGAACTGAAAATATTCCTCCTCTGGAAAAAAAATGCCAAATACCTACTGTCATTTTGAGAAGCGCTGGTGATCGTTTACAGCTTCATGTCTGATGATGAAACAAGAGGCTTAAATAACAGGGACAGAAATAGTGGAGTGTCACCGTACTGACTAAAAATGTTTGTTGTTCTATGAATTGCCTTGGGGTGTAGATGGTGTTTCTTTTCTTTTTGGAGCTTAAACCAGTGAGTGCTTTATTGAACATAGGCAGTCTTCATCTAATGTAAAAAGCTCATAGTTTCATAGAACTGCAAATTTTGACCCAAATATGTCAGTCTTCTGAAAATGACCAGGACGTGTTCATGTGTTGGAGTAATTACATTTAGCTCAACCTGGTGGGAGAACAGCGGATACAGATCCATCTCTTGCAGTACCTACAGTAAAGACACTCAATCCCATAGCAAACTCCTGAATTTTAAAAAGAATTAAATTGATGAAGGCTAAACTTTTGAATTATAGATTCAAGAAAGTGTGTAAGTTCTGTAACAGTCCAGCTACATATAAATGGTCTAATATACCTAAGATGTACATTGCAGTGGTCTGTATGTAACAATGAAGGGAAATCAATTGAAAGGGGGGGAACAAGTCAGCAAGTTGACTCAACAGGCTCGAGGTTTTTAAGGAGGATTGATGGTGAAGGATGGGCAACCAAAGCTTAAGTATTTTAGAGATAAGACATTCAGCTTCCAGAGTAAACACACAGGATCCTTAACCCAGTGAACTATAGGCATTCAGTCTGGGATGTGAAAGCTGTCTTAAGGAAAAAAAAAATCTGTCTGCTTGTCTAATGAGGGTGTGTAAAGCCTGTTGTAGTCCCTGGTGAGTATTTATGGTAGGTTGGTAAAAGATTCAAGAAGCATGTGGTACAGTGAAAACACCATCTCAGCCTTGACCTGTCACGGTGTGACAAGGCGTTGCTGTAAAAACAAAAGATTGATTTGTTTCGGGTGAGAGGGGGATTGGGTTTCCTGAGAAAGTAAGTTTTATTTTTCTTAAGTACGATGTGCAAATAAAGCATGCTTGGGAAAAAAAAAGATCGACAAGTACCTTCAGTAGAGGGCTTTGTTACTTGCTGTTCTCTAAAGTTATCAAGACAAATTGGTCTTCATTTCCGCACCCAATGAAGCGTGCGTTCACAGGACGTGCCTGGTCACTGTCAGGATTAATTTCAGGTCTGTATTGAAACTTTTCCAAGGATTTACAGAACGAGCCAGCAAGTGGCAATACAGCTGCCATATGGGCAGGTTTTGAACGGGGTCCATCCCAGCCCAGAGCGAGGAATGCCGCGTTACGACAGGTAGCGGCGAGCTCTGCCCAGTCAGTTTCTGAGAGCCTGGTGAACCTTCAGTTTAGGAAAAAGACACCCCACCAAGCACAGCACCCTTAAGACATTGCTGTGCATGGAGCCCAAGTATTCCAATATGGGATTGTGTCTTCAGCTAAACACAAGAGCACTTTCTTCTCGTGCAGTTGTGCTTAGTCATGGGTAGTAGGATATACATAGAGAATGGATTTTTATTTTGACATCCAGCTGACTTGATCTGGCTGCTCTTACTCTATGGACGTATTGGATAGGGTGTTGCTATAAATAAAAAGGTTTGATGGGTATTAAAATACCCATGTCTCACTTTAAATGTAGTTAATTGCAACGGGATGAAAAACGGGGTAGGGGAATGAATATTCAAGGGTAGCAGGAGTTGTCCTATGTTGCCTGAATGAGATCCAGAGCTTTCTGAACCTCTGGCTGCCCCTGTTCTTATCACAGAAGTAACATCTGTGCATCTATTTAGGTTATTTATGGTGCTTGTGTGGTTGATAATGAGGTTTGTGTCTGCTGTAACCATTTAGATAATGTTTTCCCAGGATCTCCGCTGGCAGGTGGCTGGTTTTCTGCTTTTGTACTGGAGTGTGGTAGAAATCTCCTTCAGAAGGGTCCCTTCCTGCCCTTCGCATGATGTTGGTGGTTTGATGCTTTAAACAGTCAGCTCACAAACACACTGAGCTGTGTTTGCCCAGGATCTGTCAGGACTGCATTTTCTTTTGGAAACAGTTCATTTACAATTGCCTTGGGTGGAGGCTTCTCTGCTGTGAGCAGAATGATACTGCTGTTTTTCTAGAGGCAGAGCACAAAAAATTAAGAGTGAAGACTTGGAAGTTTCATATCTAAGCTATTGTTAATGACCTTGTCAACAATGAGCCGGGGACGCTCTTCAGAACTGTTAATTGCTGTAATTGCAGGTATGGTCAGGCATGTAGCTGTGTACTGGGTTGTAAGACTTACATCAGTGCATCATTTTAGATTCAGTGTGAATTTATTGTAGATAATACCAGCATTTGCTTAAACTTTGGACTTTGCTTAAACAACTGGCG